CATTAAAGACTTATTTAAAAATGATCAGGACCTCCTGAAATAACAATAACTTGAAAAACTGGCGGGAGTGACATGAAAACCAAAATGTACTCGTAGATATGGTGGAAGCGTTGTCAGGAAGAAACGCTCACGAGCCACAAGCTGCTTGTCTCTTATGTGTTTGATTTGTGCTTTGTTCTAAACCTATTTCGTGTTAAATTCAATATTTAATTCAAGACTCAGGTTGATCAAATCAAAACTTAATTAGAATCTGAAAAGATGACTAGCTTTATTCTAAACCACAACTACCTACATCTATACAGTTCTTACAAAACAATAATTCACTGGACAACAAATTTTAGTTTTTTAATTGTATCTTGTGGGAAAAGTGCACTTCTTTGTTAATTTTGAAATAAAAAAATTAGTTGCTTTTTAGAAAAAAAACTTTTTATTTTTAAGGATATATTAAAAAAAGTAACAAGATTCATATATATGTACTTATAAGAATCACTATATGCGCTGTCTTTTTGCTGTTCTTTTATGGATCGTTTCTGGAGCATCTCTACCAAGAGTCCAACAGTAGTCTGCAAGCAAGGCAAGGATTCCACTTTCCCTGGTACCTTTTTTCCATTGTTGAAATATCCTGATGAAAACGTTCGCCGTGCTCATCACTTACGGCTCCGCAATTGTCAGGAAAAAAGTCCAGGTGTGAGTGTAGGAAATGCTTAAGAGACATATTACAGCCCATCTTTTGATACGATGACAGCATATTTTTGACAAGGGTTTTATAGTTGTCAGCTTTTCTATTTCCCAAGAAATTAGTGACCACCAGACGGAAATCATTCCAAGCAGTTTTTTCAATACCTGTTAAAGTGTTTTCAAACTGTGCATGTTTCAAAATATTTCGAATCTGTGGCCCAACAAAAATACCTTCTTTAACCTTTGCCGCACTTAGTCTTGGAAATTTCTGACGCAGGTATTGAAAAGCTCACCTATCTCTATCTAATGCCTGACAAAGTTTTTCATTAGGCCCAACTTGATATGCAGTGGTGGTAATAAAATTTTTTTCGAATCTACTAATGGCATATGCTGTACATTTTTTTGACCTGGCTCTAGGAATTGACGAACAGGCCAGTTTTGTCTGGTGTAATGAAGTGCCTTTGCCCGACTGTCCCATTCACACAAAAAACAGCAAAACTTTGTGTAGCCTAGCTGCAGCCCAAGTAAAAGTACAACAACTTTCAAATCGCCTCAAATATGCCATTGGTGCTCATCGTATTTTATGCATGTCGATAGGTACTTCATATTGTCATATGATTCTTTCATGTGAACTGCATACCCCACAGGAAGAGATGGTAAAATATTTCCAATATGCAATAACACTGCCTTTAAACTCAATGTTGAACTGTCTATAAACAATCTCCATTCTTCTGGGTTATAGTTTATATTTAAAGCCGCCAGTAAGCCGTTAATGTTACTGCAGAAAACCAAGTTATTCTCCATATTGAAAAATGGTTCTAAGTCTTTGTGGCGTTTACGAAAAACACATACCGAAACATCGTCTTCTAACAAGTTCCACTGCTGCAGTCTTGATCCAAGTAACTCTGCCTTACATTTTGGAAGTTCTAAATCTCTTACAAGATCATTTAATTCTGACTGTGTTATTTTGTGCGGTTGGTGGCATGACGTGCTCGGTATAAAATCAGGATCTCTTGACGTTGATGGCATATCTTCTTCCTGACGAATCACTCGATCGCCATGATCTGATTCGTTTTCTGATTCGCAAGTGTAGGATTCTGCGGGTTTTGGAATAGGATTTTCGTCACTGTGAGGCACATGTCTCATCGCAGATGGTATGTTTGGGTAGTTAATAACCGATTTTTTTTACTTGGACATACCTGTAGCTTGTCCAACACAAGGTACCATGCAAAAGTAACAATCATTAATATGATTTGTAGGCTCTCTCCAAACCATTGGGACAGCAAAGCGCATAGACCGTTTTTTGCCATTTAACCAGCTCCTCAGACTTGAAGCACATGTATTACAGCAGTTGTGGGGTGCCCACTGTTTGTCTTGATCACCTAGTTTACAACCGAAATAAAGCTGATATGCCTTTGTTATTAGTGGAGTAATAGACCGTCTCTGAGACGCAAAAGTCACATCACCACACACGTAACAAAGCTGATCTGGATTGTTTACACACTTTCGAGACATCTTGCATGAACGCTGTCAGCCAGCTGAGGAAAAAAAGGGCTAATATAAAACAATATAATGTACACGTATGTATGACGTAACACAATCATGCCGATTACATCATCTTTCCTTGCGAATATAAAAATGTAGCACGTGCATTCTTGTGAATTACAGTATATTAACACTGTCACAGCAGGAACACATATAATTACCGTATCTCTAAAACTTGAACTAATATTGAAAAAATAAGTTTCATTCCGGTTTTAGCACATTAAAAATAGTAATATTTTGTTGATTTTATTTAGGATATTTTTTGGCTGTTTCATACCTACTATTCGTCATTTGTTTGACTGGCCGGTCCGTAGAACCTTCGCCTATTAGTCACTGTCTGATGTACGTTAGTCGAATCTGTCAGTGCTGGTTGCCCAGAAACCAGACAATATCCAGGACAAAGAGAAATTGAAAGAGAAGAAAAATGGAGGAGAGCAAAGAAAAACAGATGTGTATAATTTGAGAGGAAACACCTAGGCTTTTAGACTTGATACACGGATTAATTTTGAAGATTTTCATACTTAAACCTGTCCAGTTTATGTTTTTGTGTGTCAACATGCAAATGCCAATTGCAAAAAAAAATCCGGATTGATTTTGAAAAACTTACAAAGTTTTTTCATCCTTGGCATAGTTGAGTAGTTATAGACAGACTAAGGACTTGCGAAGAGACCGATAGACAAACCGGTGAAAATGAGTGACAGTTTTTCGAGATGCACATGACATAGAACAACCACGAAACATAATCCGAACTGTTTATCACAATACTTGCTCCGCCAGTAGGCGTGGAAAGTAAAAGGGATGTAATAGGGATCGCCGTGTTGCTTAATGAGACTCCATAAAAGAGGCAATAATGGGTACCTGTTAGGATAATTGGTAAAGACAAGCCACCCCTGCCTCGACCCAAAACTTCCTGCTTTAACGGCAAAGTATGGAAGTAGGGTTATAGACCTCATATTCTCAACTCTTCCTACACATATACGAAACCTTGACAATGACCTAAAGGACGTCAACCTTGTATGTCTGATGACGCAATGCAACACATCCTTAGGTTTAGCAAACAAAAGCGTATGTCCTGAAAGTTTTGACACAAAATATTTATCGGATTTTTGTTAATGAAGCCATGTATTAAAACACTAAGTAGTTATCATAAATTACAATTCAATACATAACTAAACTATACTACCGAATTATACTAAGTGACGTGTAAATCCGAACACCCAGTTTAAATGGTTTTATTTTAATAAAAGTTGGTCAGCCTTATCAGTTGGACATTCGGGTTTTTATACTGCTCTTGTTTAATTCACTAACGCTCTAAAAATGAATATTTCAGCCGCAGTAAAGAATCAACGTTGGCGGATTTTGGTTCTTGACATCCTTTACGATCGGTTACGATACCGAGAGTACGGAGACCTGTACGATTTCGTCAACTTAGTGAGTTTGATAGGGGCCGTATAGTGGGACTTCGGGAAGCTGGACTTTCTTTTCGGGCAATTGCAGTTAGAGTGCAAAGAAGTGTAGACACTGTGGTTAGGTGTTGTCAGGCATGGCTTCGAGAAGGCCGTACGCAAAGAGCAAGGGGCACTGGACGCCGCCGTAGAACAACAGACCGTGAAGATCGCCGCCTAAGATTATTGGCCTTAAGGGACGGTTTCTCCACTACCAGGTCCATTGCAAATGAATGGTTTGCAGAACACGGAAGACCTGTTGGCATGCGAAGTGTTTACCGACGAATGAGAAGTTTTGGCTTGTTTTCATACCGCCCACACTGGGTCCTCCCTTTAACTCGAGAACACCGACGTAATCGCCTTGAGTGGTGCAGACAACGGTCACTCTGGGATCAGGAATGGAACAGTATTGTCTTTAGTGACGAGTCTCGATTTTGTTTAGGCATGCACGATGGTCGTGCCAGGGTTAGAAGGCAACGTGGTGAAAGGAGGAATCCACAGTTTTTTGTTGAAAGACATGTTCATGACACTGTTGGAGTTATGGTTTGGGGTGCTATAGCTTATGGTTCCAGGTCACCTTTAATCTTCATCAGAGGTAACATGAACGCGCAGCGTTATATCCACGAAGTTCTAGAACCCCATCTTTTACCCTATCTTGACACCCTGGCAGATCCAACTTTCCAACAAGATAATGCCCGACCACATGTTGCAAGAGTCACAATAGACTTCTTTCAACATAATGATGTCACATTGTTACCATGGCCACCAAGATCTCCCGACTTATTCCCAATTGAGCACGTGTGGGATATGATGCTCAATTTGCAACGTCCTCCTCAGACTCTAGAAGCACTTCGAGAGGAGTTGGTGGTTGCCTGGAATGAGATACCACAGGAGGACATTGACCACCTGATCAGAAGCATGCCTAGGCGCGTTGGAGAATGCGTAGCACATCGGGATGCATCCACACATTATTAAAGGTCAAAGGGCTTTAAAGCAGTGCAATAATTTTGAAATTTTTATTATTTACTTATTATGCTTCATTAAGTACTTATACAAAATTTTATTAAAATAAAACCATTTAAACTGTGTGTTCGGATTTATATGTCACTTAGTATAATACATATTCAAAGACATGTCGGATTACAGGGGGCGCCGGATTAGACAGGGGCAGGATTATCTGAGGTCCACTGTATTTCGAGAAAATTTGCTGATATCATTAGACTAAGGCATGAGGAGTAAAATGATGAATCTCTTTTATGTAGGGCAAAATGACGGAACAAAACGTGTATCTACAATCAAACTAAATTAATATAGTTGATTCAGCATATATACGTTAGATCTATGAGGAGGAAGTCACGCAACGAATGTTTTCCTTTTCCTTCCAACGTTTCCCTTCCATCGGCTGCCCATCCATCGGTGCCTGGGGAAAAACAACATTATTGGGGCAAGTTTAATTTGGTTATTTTCGACGTTGATTGATTGAGTCTCGGAAATGTGTTGTCGGTGGCTTACGGTGCTGATGACTCGCATATTTTAGCGCGGTAGTTCGAAACACAATCGAGGCTTCCAGGTTGATGCGGGTGAGATCGGGGCCTTTTACAATTGACACAGTAAGGGTAACGCTTCACAGAAGCAAGTAGAGCTACTCAGTATCGAGATGAATCTTGCAACATGGAGATACATATACTAAATGACATATAAATCCGAACACCCAGTTTAAACGGTTTTATTTTAATAAAATTTTGTATAAGTACTTAATGAAGCATAATAAGTAAATGATAAAAATTTCAAAATGATTGCACTGCTTTAAAGCCCTTTGACCTTTACCACCCTGATGTGCTACGCATTCTCCAACGCGCCTAGGCATGCTTCTGATCAGGTGGTCAATGTCCTCCTGTGGTATCTCATTCCAAGCAACCACCAACTCCTCTCGAAGTGCTTCTAGAGTCTGAGGAGGACGTTGCAAATTGAGCAATCTCCTACCCATCATATCCCACACGTGCTCAATTGGGGATAAGTCGGGAGATCTTGGTGGCCATGATAACAATGTGACATCATTATGTTGAAAGAAGTCTATTGTGACTCTTGCAACATGTGGTCGGGCATTATCTTGTTGGAAAGTTGGATCTGCCAGGGTGTCAAGATAGGGTAAAAGATGGGGTTCTAGAACTTCGTGGATATAACGCTGCGCGTTCATGTTACCTCTGATGAAGATTAAAGGTGACCTGGAACCATAAGCTATAGCACCCCAAACCATAACTCCAACAGTGTGATGAACATGTCTTTCAACAAATTTTGTGTATGTGTATGTGCTTCAAGATTTAATTTCAAATTCACATAATTTTACTATTTAGGCAGCAGCGGTGGCCGCAGTAGTAGACTCTTCGGTCTCCTGACAAGTCGCCGTGCGCTGCGCGGGTTCGAATCCCGTCCCAGGAGAAATTTTTCTCTTGGCTATCGATGTCGAACGCGGAGGTACCACCCGGCGGATCTCGTAGGCGGAGCCAAAATGTGTGCATGTTGCATGCACACGTGTTCCCTCGCCAGAGTCCGTGTGGCGTTCCCCCTTTCCCATGTATCTCCCTATAGCCCCTCGGTACCCAATGGGTGCTTAGGTCTTCGTGGTAGTTGAAGTATAAAAAAAAATATATATATTTTTTTTGATATTTGGGTCAGGTGGAAGAATAGCTACATACGATTATTACAATAAATACGATTATTATTATTATTAGCCTCGAAGGCATCAAAAACCTCCCATTCCATTGTGTAACACACATCCGTCAAGCTTGGATCCAATAGGATGAACCCCCACGTTGAAGTTTATACAGAAAATTGAATCCATCCACTCTCGCATCTCCCGCGTCGACGTTTTCTTTCAATTTGCCAAATCACATTTATCCTTTTTGTAAAATGTTTCGCGTTTTTTCAGCCCTGCAATAACTCTTGCATTACGTACACATCAGCACTGTCAATTTATCAGTTGCGAGCTGTTTGTGTGTGTGCTTTCGATTTACAACTCCTAGCTAAAATAGCTTTTTACAAGGTGGATCATGTTAGACTGAAATCGTTTTCTTGGTGGAACTTACTTTTTTCGTTTCTAGAGCAGATGGTAAAAATATTCTAAGTGACATATAATTCTTGATCCCAGAGTGACCGTAGTCTGCACCACTCAAGGCGATTACGTCGGTGTTCTCGAGTTAAAGGGAGGACCCAGTGTGGCCGGTATGAAAACAAGCCAAAACTTCTCATTCGTCGGTAAACACTTCGCATGCCAAAAGGTCTTCCGTGTTCTGCAAACCATTCATTTGCAATGGACCTGGTAGTGGAGAAACGGCCCCTTAAGGCCAATAATCTTAGGCGGCGATCTTCACGGTCTGTTGTTCTACGGCGGCGTCCAGTGCCCCTTGCTCTTTGCGTACGGCCTTCTCGATGCCATGCCTGACAACACCTAACCACAGTGTCCAACTGATAAGGCTGAAAATTTTTCACTTGTTATTTAAAGTAAGATAAATACATTCACCAACTTTTATTAAAATAAAACCATTTAAACTGGGTGTTTGGATTTATATGTCACTTAGTATATGTGGTTTTGATTGGACAGGCAAACGCGAGGGATTATCAACAAAAATGCTCGTCTAAGTTTTATAACTTTCTTATTTCGCAATATATTTTCTAGGAATATGCTATATGGGAAGGCAAATTGGATTCTTAAATGTATTACGACGAAGAATAAAGGAATTTTATATGCTACACGATATTCCGCGATTTGAGAGCGCGTAATTTTAGAAGAGAATTTCCGATATATGATGGGAATTTTATTGCGGAAAGATACTAAAATATCTTTTATCTATCGACAGATGTTGAGCACTATCAATAAATCTGAAGAAACTTTAGATAGAAAAAATGCATATATGTTTACTTACCAAATAATCATCTACACTCTACCGGGTGACAAAAAAATAGTGCCTGTATTACTAGGGCAAAAAAATATCGAAAAGTCATGTGTACTAGAAGGGCAACCGACGTGATGACTCAGGAACAAATTTGGGATGCCCAGTCCCAAATAATGATAAGTTCATTAAAAAAATAATTGGGCACTGCTCAATATCTAGTACAATCATTTGGTACTCAAAGATGGGATGGCCTAGCTAGTTTTTTTTTTGATTTAACAAAAACAAAGCCACTTAGGGTTATTGGCGGCTGGACGTCACAAAACGATAATTACATTTTATTGTACATATGTATATCTTTCAAGTACATACTTGATTAAACGATGTTCATTTGACGTCAAGGACTCCTTGATGTTGGAAGGTATCCGGTTGGTAGTCCTGTGGTACTGGTAAGTTATAATATAATATTAGCATATTCTCATAAGCTAAAGAGGAGAGTGTAGGTTCGGATACCTCGTATTAGATTATTTATCTACACCAGAGTTCCCCAAACTTTTTTGTGTCGTAGACCCCTTGCCATGTTTTTCCGGGTTGAGTAGGCCCTCGACTTACCTGATATTGATTTCCTGTATATTTCGAACTGTAGTGAAGTTTAGTGTTAAAAACTTAAAGTAAAAACACGTGTTAATTTATACATTTATTAATTGAATTTAAATTAAAACTACTCAAAATAAAAGTTTGTATCTGTTATGTAAAATATACGTAGGATTAAATAAACAGGTGTCTGACCAATAAGTGCCCGCATTGGGAATAAGTGCCCGCATTGAAAAAAAAATAAGAGGGATAAAATAAAAAAAAAGAAAAATAATAAAAAAAAAGTTTTTTACTTAAAATAGTACAATAAGCGAGTTCGTTTATTAATTATTTATAACATAAACGTATGTTTTACAATAATTTCACTGTTAGTTTGATTAAATTCCGCAGTTCTTCGTAGATTTCTTGATTCATAATAAAACGAACATATGCCAATAATAATGCTGCATTATCAGGTAAAGTTGACTCGTTCAGTGGTATAGAGAAATGGGTCGTTTGCAAATAATTACATAAGAAGCTTTCAATATCAGAACTCATTTCATCAATACGTCTTTCAACAGTGTTGTTGCTTAAGGGAACTCTTTTAATGATATCAGATGCAGGTTTGTGTAAAACAGTTTTTAAAACCTCTTCAACGGCTGGCAAAAGTAACTTCTCTCCGATAGTATGCGGTTTTCCGGATTTTCCTATAAGTAACGAGATATTGTAAGATGCCCGCAAACCATCATCATTTCTTTGTGACGTCGAAGCGAACATTCTGTCCAGTGTAGATCTCTTCTGAAATTTATCTTTGAGTGTTTGAAAGTATTTCAAACTTTTCTCTGTTTTATCAGAGTGGCATCTTCTCAGATGATCTTGCAGTTTAGCTGGTTTCATAGCGTCATTGCCCAAAACTTTGTTGCATAAAAGGCACATAGGCGATTGTTTGTCTAGCAATGATGGAATGAAGCCAAATTTCAAATAATCAACACTGCACTGTCTACATTTCTTTTTAGATTCGAACATGGCATCAGTCATCTGTGGGCAAAATTAAATTATTTAAATAAGACAGAAAATCCAGCAGCTGTATATTAAAAATATTTTTTGATTTTTCCGAAAACGTTCCATAATTCGAACATTTTCTTGCAACAATTAGCTCGAATTACGGAGATTGCACTGTAATTATATTACCGATTGCTAAAACTTTCAAAAAGAAACTATTGAGGAGCACTCGTGTAATTTTGCATGTTTGAATATTTAACTACTAATAACTAAAGTCATGATTGGCGTAATTTATCTATCATTGCTAACTACGAGTACAAAACTAAAATTTAATAAAAAATAACGTACTTACTTTTCTCCAGCACTCTCAAACAAAATAACACTGACTCACTATAATTTGTGTGATATACCATCTGTTTATATTTTTTAAAATATCTTCTTTGCACTTTCCTTTTCAAGATTCAGGAAACGAATAAACGTATTTGTCCCACATTCGTATTTATAGAGTGAATTGAACAAGTCAGTGCAAGGTAGCGAAGCTCTGAGACTGCGACTCTCAGGTTTTTACAAGTTCAAAATGTATTGCGACCACAAAGCGAATACCAACATCCTACAACTTACACAATTTTATAAACATATATAATAAATTTTTTACTTCATAGGTACTTTTATAAATAATGTATATGTTTTGATATTATAAGATAGTATGATGTAAGTAAATAGGTACTATCAGTGTATGTGTTGAGATCCACTATCGTGGACCCCCATATTCATTTCATGGACCCCCAATTTTTTTTTCGCTGACGTAGACCCCTTGCAGGTTGTCATAGACCCCTAGGGGTCGATATAGACCACTTTGGGAATCAATGATCTACACCCATGCTTGTAACTACGAGCCAGACACCAGCCCCCTCGATCATATGGACCCCTACCGAACTGAACCTCTATTGACTCCCCTGCCTTTGGTCTTGCACTTCTTTTATGTAACACGAACATCCATTTTCCGCGTCCGGAAAACGTGTCGATATTGTTTCACCCTCCAAACAAAAGCACATCGTGTTCGTTCGCGATTCGTATACCAGATAATACTTCATTAAAAACGTATTGGAAAATTGGGATAACATTTCCGGTGGTGCAAATACGTATCTGTATCTGTTTATATATGTCGCGCCCACAGATCAGCGATAAATATCGTTCCATCATCGGGGACATCCGCGAATCACACGAAATGTTGTTACGAAATGATCTTTTGGGTGCAGCGAATTGGTGCTTTTTAGAAATACTTGTAATAACAATATAAGCTTATCCTGGTGGAAACTATCACAATTTATTTAAAATTAGTAAAGAGCCCTGTCTCTGTGAAGTGCCCCAACTATATATCAAAACTACGTTTTCCGTACCATGGGCCAACTTCACTGAGACAGGGCTCGTATACAGGGTGTCCCTTAATGATATGCGAATATTTCGGGGTGTTAGTTTTAGGAAAAAAATGGAACTTAATTAATATTTCGAGAACCGCTTCAGACATTTCACTGATATTTAGTACGTAGTGAAAGTTAATAAAGTTGCATATTTTTCAATGCAAAAATCATTTTTAGCTTTTTAGCGTACGCATATCATTATATGTATAATGCACATGCCTCGTTAAATCTTCTACCTATTCCGAATACGTTGGCCGTCCTAGATTGTACATGACATCCTTCCATTTAACTGCATGCATTAAATTTCAACAATATAATAACCGTAAAGACAATCTCGTCCTCTTCTACGATTTCTTGATGGATAATTACTGTGTTAAATTTAACGAGGATTTCCTCTTCCCACTATAGTCTACTTCCCCAACTGACGTAATTTATGAAGTCGTAAAACTCATTCCGCAACGTTTCAAGGGCAAGCGTAAAATATACGCTCTTCGTTTACTCTCGCCGTCTTCCAGGCACTAGCATTAACCCAGACTAGAGAGAAGAGAAATAGGTATTTCGTGTAGAAAAGTTTAGTAGATATCTGAAAGTTTTAAATGAAAAATACATAAAAAGATACGCGTTGTTTTTTTATAAACAAAGGGAAAAGCTCAAAATTCAGTATTCTGCTTGTATAACACTGGTCAACACTGGTTTTGCCACACGAACTTTGACAGCTAATTTTGTTTTATCAGTCTACCCTCATTATTACATGACAGCTGTCATAGGCCACGAATCTTGTGTTGGAGCGTTATCACCAATGTTTTGGTTTTTCTGTCGCCCATCAAGACAAATCCTGGGCCCCTCATGTCTGTTGCATAACGTGTGTGAAAAATTTAACTGACCGGAAGAAAGGTGCACGACCTATGCCATTTGCTGTACCCATGATATGGACTGAACAGCGAGATCACGTTTCAGATTGCTATTTTTGTCTCACAGACATAAAAGGTATAAATTACAAGAAAAAAACCACAGTTATTTACCCTAACTTATCTTCGGCTATAAGACCAGTCTCTCATTGTAAAAGATTGCCAGAACTAATACCAGTTGCAACTACGTCTGTTGAGAACAATTCACAACCGTCCACTTCAGGTGAATGTGTTGACGAGGACGATGACTTTGAGTTAAAAGGAATTGTAAACGAGCCACATTTGATAACTCAAGAAGACCTAAATGATTTGGTTCGGGATTTAAATTTGTCAAAAAAGCAGTCAGAACTATTAGGATCACGTCTAAAAGAATGTAATTTGCTACATCATAATACAAAAGTTAGCTATTTTCGAAAACGTGATCAACACTTCAGAACGTATTTTTCTCAGGATGGAGATTTGGTGTTTTGCAATAACATAAATGAGATTATGAAAATGTTGGACATAGATTTTGATCTCTCTCAGTGGCGTTTATTCATTGATTCTTCAAAAGCAAGTCTAAAAGCAGTGTTATTGCATAATGGAAATAAGCTTCCGTCTGTACCTCTGGCCCATACTGCAAATATGAAACAAACCTATGACAATATGAAACTTTTACTTGAAAAAATAAACTACAGTACATATTCCTTCAAAATCTGCGGTGATCTTAAAGTTGTTGCACTATTACTTGGACTTCAGCTGGGTTATACAAAGTTTTGCTGCTTTTTATGCGAATGGGATAGCCGAGACAGAACTAATCACTATATAAAAAAACATGGCATACGCGTGCATCGTTAGTTCCTGGGCAAAAAAACGTAAAGTATTTACCCCTTGTACAGCCAAATAATGTGCTTCTGCCACCATTGCATATCAAATTAGGATTAATAAAAAAATTTGTGAAGGCAATGGATCGCAATGGGAGTGGATTTTTGTATCTAAAAGAAAAATTCAAATTAGGGAGTTAATAAAAGATTCAAGATTTGAAGAAAAATTAAGCGATTTAGAAACATCTGCATGAAAGGCTTTTAAAAATGTTGTTGCAAATGTTTTGGGTAACCACAAGAGTGACAGCTACAGAGAGTTGGTTAGCGAGCTATTATTGTCATATCAAGCATTCGGTTGCAACATGTCACTTAAGATCCATTTTTTATACTCGCACCTGGATTTTTTTCCTGACAATTTAGGGGCTGTCAGCGACGAGCACGGTGAGAGGATCCATCAGGACATTTCTAATATGGAAAAGCGGTACCAGGGCAAATGGAGCCCAAATATGTTAGCAGATTACTGCTGGACAATTAAAAGGGACCAACCAGAAGCTAAATATTCAAGAAAACCTTAGATTATTAAGTCATTTATAAAAAAAAATAACTTTTGATTTACGAGATCTGTGTTTTTTCTTAATATTTTAAATTACTCAATAGAATAAAATCCTTGTCTAGCAAATTTTTTTTAACTGTTTATTTTTTCTTACAATCACCAATTAAAGTAAAAGATATCAAAAAAGTCCGTGTGGCACGACAAAGTTAAAATTTTGTAGACCAGTGTAATTTACGAATTATACAATTAAAACTTTCTTTGGCTGTCGGTTTATAAAAATCTGAAAAAATTAATGAGTGCAAAAAATTTTCACAGCGAGTACTAGTTATGTTTGTTTGGTGAATATTTATTTAGCAACAATGCTACAAAGTAAATTTTGTATACAGGGTGTTTCAGAACTACGGGATCAAACTTATAGGCGTTATTCAGTGTGAAACAGAAGAAAACATTTGAGTATAGGGACCCATATCCGGGGATATCAGCTAATACATTTCCTGCATATTCAAAATTAGATCTTTCTAAATGTTCATCAATTGTAACGCCACGTTCATCCAAATGAGACCCAAAATGTTCATGAGGCAATATTAAACTAGCCAGTTCCCGACTAAGAGGAGCCGTTCTGCGCTCTACTCTGTTATACGCACTTCTTCCAGGAGCATTGGTAGCTAAAAACCATACATCGGGATCATGTCGCTTAAAGTGCTGTATAGCAAACCCTATGACTTTTTGATAACGTGGATTTTCATCTGGCCCTCCGTGAACCGTCATGATTACCACTGGTTTTACTAGTCCATGGTCAGTTTTAGCTAATGGTCGAAACTCTTCAAGTTCGAGAAGCGTCTCGAAATCCTGAGCATGAGTATTAGCAGTAGATGAACTATGCTTTCCACTTCGAATAGCGATGTATGTTGGTGCAGAATATCCAACGGCTTGCGGTTGTCCTAGCATATTGGAAGTGATTTTGATACCAGCATAAACAGATGGTATTAATTTATGACGCTCAGCGATTACCCAATCGTGATCAGGCAATCTGATTTTATATTCCATGTGCATTAGAAGAGGTGCTTGCTTATTTGCCGCAGTTACACCAATAGGGACTCGAGCTTTATCATCTTGAGCTATGAAAAATACTTGATCTGGTCCAAGTATGGATGCTATGTTCTCTAAATAATGGATTGATGTTTCAGCGAACTTGCTATCTAAGTGGCTC